CTTCTTTTCTTTTCTTTCTTTCTCTTCTTTTCTTCTTTTTTCCTCTTTTTTTCTCACTTTTTTTCTAAAGAAAAAACATGTCAAGAAAAAAAAAAAAAAAAAAAAAAAGATAGCTGGATAAATACATAGATAAAGAGATAAAGAGATAAAGAGATAGAACAGATCTAGATAGTCTCCACCTCCCTCCCATCTTACACTCTCGCAATCTGAACTGCGCGCTAACAAAGGCCAAGCAAGCTATCAATCAGCTGCTCCTACCTAGTCATTTCGGTCTATTCGCGTGTGCTATACCCCGATTTTTTTATTTTTTTATTTTCAAAAAAAGAAGGATAGATTGATAAATAAATAAAAAGACATAAAAAGGATCTAGACACCTTAAAGGCAGGTAGGGAGTTATTTAAACCGTCAGCTGATAATCCGATGACGGTCTCTTTAAAAGACGATTCCAAAAGGTCAGCATAGTTAGTAGATCACCTTAAGCCGATACTTAAAATTAGATAGAGTCTGAAAACAAACGATTTAAATTATTTAAATCGTAGCTAAAATAAAACCATTTCAATCGATTAAATCGTCTTTTATAAGAGCTCGTATTTTCGTTAAAAGATTATTACTAAAATACCACTATTTGAATCGATTAAATCTTCGTTTATAAAAGTCGGTCTTTTTACGAAAAGATCGTTTTAGGATCGTTCTATAGCCGTCCTATAGCCGTCTTATAGCCGTCCTTGAACTTGAAACCGTCTCGAGGAACGTAAATTAGTAAGTAAATAATATTTTTTTCCTTTCAATTACTTGCTAATCTACTTTGTACTTATTCAACCACCTTATTATTACCACTCTTAACAATCGCGAAGCATTTGTGCGCGAGTAAACTTTTGCTAAATCGATCGATTCCGATTATAAAAAAATTAAAGCGTTAATATATAAGCCGTAGCAGCGATACCGAGAAATATCTTAGCATAGAATTTATTAAATTATTATTACCACGATTCCATTTAAAAGATTATTTTCATTTACAATTATATCTTTTTTAAAATAATTATCGAACTATTTCACTTTTTTAAAACGAGCTTACTAGTAAGCCTATTTTAAAAATATAAACGAGGACGGCCGTAAGACGGCTATAAAACGGTCTCTTTTAATAAAACGGTCTTCTCGATAAACTATTCTTAAAAAGAACTTAGTTTTGAATTTAAGCGATTTAAAAACCGTCTTTTATAAAAGAGGGTTAAAGGACCGCTTAAATAACCCTTTACCTGCCTTTAAGGTAGTCTTTACCTCCTTTCTATCTTATACTCTTATTATCTGAACCGCGCGCTAATAAAGGTCAAGTTATCAATTAATTAGCTGCTCCTACTCACTTCGTTCTATTCGCTTGCGCTATACCGACTTTTTTTTAAAAAAAAAAGGTAGTTGGAGATATAGATAAAGAGATAAAAAAAAGATCCATATAGTCACTACCTTCCCCTTATCTCATAATCTCACAATCTTATACTCTTATAATCTGAACCGCGCGCTGATAAAGGTCAAGCGATCAATCAGTCAGCTGCTCCTACCTATTCATTTCGTTCCATTCGCGTGCGCTATACCGACTTTTTCAAAAAAAATAAAAAAAATCACCGACTTTAGAGATTCTGAAAAGCATACCGTCCGACCTTTATTTAAATGGATTCGGGAGGTTGGAATCGCTAGTAAGGCTTAGTAGATGAAATGCTTAACATTTATTACTGAGGCTGATTATCTTTTTTATTAGTTATATATATGTGTATGTGTGTGTGTGTACGATCGATCAACTCTCTATTTTTCTTCTTTCTTTCTTTTATATATATATATATATATAAACCCCAAGCTCACCCCAACGCCAACCTAACGCAACAGCTTCTCAGCTTCTCAGCTTCTCAGCCAGCAGCCCCCCTCCTCTTCGATATCCCTCTCCTCCTACCTCTTCTACGCTAGCAAGCAAGCAAGCAAGCAAGCAATCCGCTAGAAACAAACACACACCTCCAAGCCGCTTCCGCCGAAATGCCATTCCAGCTTTCGTAGTGTCAGTTTCAGTGTCAGTTTCAGTTTCTCGATCTCGATCACCCTTTTGAATAAAGTTTCTGCTAAAAAAAAAAAAAAAAACAGCGTTTCTACACCGCGCTGGTCTCGTTGAAGGAACGGAATGGGCGATATGCTGACGAGACGAGACGAGACGAGGCGGCGAGGGGTAAGGGGATCTTATGGTATTAGGCTGGGATGGGATACTGGTATTGGATCTGCGAGGTGGCGGCGGTCGGACGGAGGAGTGGGGAACGCTTGCTTGCTTGGTGGTGGGCCTTGGGAGTTGGC